TGCAAATGTACTCACAGGTGTTTATAACACTGAACTCAGAGCTGCTGGCACATCCATTGACAGCTGCTGAAAATCCCTTAGGCTGCACAGAACAAACAACCTACAATGCTGAATGGCTGACAAACAAGCAGACTATGCATGCTGAGGAGCAGGAAGGAGAAGTGGAGGTGCTCACTGTGTGCACCCACCTTCCTCATAGTGGGTATCCACCTCCTCCACATCTCCAGGATGCATCTCTAAGACGAGGGGTGACACATTCACTTTGCAGAAGGGAAAGTTCAGATTGGATACTGGGAGAAATTTCTCTTCCTAACAAGAGCAGTCAGGTGCTGCCCAGGGGTGGAAGGGGAGGAAGTCACTGTCCCTGGGGATGTTCCAGGGGAATGTGGGGATGTGGCACTGAGGGTTGGGGGCAGTGGGAGCTCAGTGTGCTTTTTCAGCTGTAATGGTTCTCTGGTTCTATGATCCACTCTCCTTACTCTGGTGCATCCACCTTCTCAATTTGCCCTCAGGACAATTTATCTTTGGTGTACATTTGCCACGTGCCATCTCACTGTGCACACACATCCAAATAAGGAAAACAGAACAGAATGATTATCTATAAAAGCACAGAAAATATCTTCAGAAATGTTTGAAAAAAGGCATGAAAAGTAATAATACATCTTTATTCAAGCACCTCGGGAGCAGGAAACCTGCCAGAGTCCATGGAAAGGATATAAAAGGAATGCTCCGAAAGAAAGGTCACAGCAGAAAATCTAAATTAATTTGTATTCAGAGTTTGGGCCAGCTCCCATGCTGCAGTGCTCACCCACAGAGTCAGCTGGAGGTTTGTCTTAAGCAGAAGTCAGAATAAAGCAGAAAAAAAAAAAGGAACAGAACAGAGCAGAACTGCTGAGAAGAGATGGAACTCAGGCTACGAGCTCAGACAGCGTGCATGTATCACACATGGGACCTCAGTGCTGGGTGATGGGAAGCCTGTTAGCAACGTCACAACAACTTCTGCATCACTCCAGGATTCACTGAGGAGACCACGTATCAGTGACTGCCATCCGTACCAGGCAAATTAACAGAAGCTCTTCTAATGTGAAGGGATACGTGAAATATGACACCCTGGGAAATTCAGCACCGTGATGAGAAGGGATGACTCAGGAACTCCTGGAGCCTATCAAAAGACTATAAGAGATCTGGACAGTAAAGTCTACCAAAAGCACGTGTGGAGGTCTGTCACTGGGAGTTCTTAACATAAGCACCTGTGTGAAGAGAGAGGGTCTTCATATGCATAAATTGGAAGAAACAGGAATTTTATGAGTGGGAAGAGGAGCTGCCAACAGCTCCAGGCTCCTGCTGCTGACTTTGTAAGTGACTCAGGAAAGGATGCTGACCTATAGGAGGTTTTCAGAAACAAAGCCATTTGTGCCTTTCCAGGAGGTGTTATTACTGCCACAAGCAGGGCTGAGGGCGGGGGGGACCTGTGGGACCCAAATCACCAACAGCAGCACACCAAGGGGCTCTCCTCCCTTGGCAGCCTCCTGCCCTCCCATGCCTTCCCACCCAGGCTAGAGCACAGCACTATCCTGCAGGATAGAAGCTGGGAATTGCAGCCCTCCACTCTGAGAAATAACTCAAACACAGAATAATTAAACACTGAAGCACAAATTGCCTCATTCAAAACCCACTGAAGCTAGTAGAAATCTCTGCGCTGAGCTTAATTGCTTCAGTTTGGGTGCAAAATGCCTGAAAACATCAGTGGCAATTGGAAAGCCTCACCTTCAGCTTCACATACATATTCAGCAGGGTAGCATTTACAGAGCAGAATGCTACAGAGCTACTGGGAGCTGTGCTCTATTAAGCATTGCCCTGAGCCATTACACAGTGATATTACATGTCATTACAGCAAGAAAAGATCACCTTTACCAAACAGAATAATACAAATTATCCTGGCTGGGTCTTTGAGCCATGGATAGCACCTGCAGAGGTGTTACATTGCTCAAACCTCAGAACCTCGTCAGAAGCTCACAAATGCTCCAGAAATTTTAACAGGAATTGAAGAGAAAAAAAAAACAACAGATTGTTTCCTGTCTTTGTTGCAAAATTTACTGCTTTGATAAGGTATTTGAAAATATTCGCAATATTGGCCAGAGATTTCCAGATATTTCTTAATGCCCTGAAGCTCTTGGAAACAGGTATGTTTAATAACCATGTAAGAGAGAAAAGAAAGAATTGTTTTTAGAAAGCAGTTTTGTGAAGAGCTGTAGAGTCAACATACAAATATTCTCAGCATTTAAGCAGCAGCAGCAAAGCCTTCTGAAGAGAAAGTACAGCTGATGGAGAACAGGAACGCCCTGCACTGAGCTCCTGCACACCAGGGCACTCCTCCAGCCCACCACAACCCGGCACTGCAGCAGTACTGCACTGTTTGCTACGTCTGTCCCAGAGAAAACTCTTCAAAACGTTTTATGAACAACACTGCATCAATTTCCTACCACAAAGCATCAGGGAATGCACTGATATGTTTGGACTTGTTTTACATGCAGAAAAATTGTTGACAAACTCAACAGTCAATGGAGAGCTCTTGTTTTTTAATGCAAGGTGTATGAAGGTGGTGAGGCACTGGAACAGGTTGCCCAAGGAGGCTGTGGATGCCCCATCCCTGCAGGCATCCAAGGCCAGGCTGGATGTGGCTCTGGGCAGCCTGGTCTGCTGGTTGGCGACCTGCACACAGCAGGGGGTTGGAACTGGATGAGCGTTGTGGTCCTCTTCAACCCAGGCCATTCTATGATTAAAGAACATCACTTTGGAGATCCCTGCTCTGGTTAGGGAGCTTCCTTTCAACCAGCAGTTATTAGTATTTATTTGTCTGATGATTTTGTAACTAAATCTGAACACTTGGCACTCAGTTACCATGGATACGTTTTACAACAACCTTGACTTGTTGACTGAGTGGCAAAAATAGAGCTACAGTAAACACAAAGCACATTTAATTGCTGTTTATGCCAAGATGCTAAATGCTTCCCTTAGAGAGTCTTCATGCACACGCAGCTGACAGCACAGAGGACAGACTGACGTCTGCTTTTGGGTAATTTTTCATTCCATGTGATTTAAGTTGCATTTGACATGGTAACAGCACTGAGCAGATGCTACTTCCACAGGTCTGATGGTACACTTCCAGGCTAGTTAAGAGCAGAAGTACAACATTAAAATTAGGCATTCACCTTCCTCTTCACATTTCTTCTCACAGCAGAACCACCAAACAAACTACCAACATCATTAGGTTTCCCTGTTCACAGCACACCAAACAAACTGCAGGTTAAGAAGGAAAGCTCTGCAGTGCACATCTGCAGACCTGCCCCATCTGCCCCAGCACCAGGCTGTAAAACCCCTCTGGCTTATAGGGCTGTATGTATTTCCTGACTGAAGTTGTTCTGCTGTAGGCACAGCACTCAGTGTTGCACTATGTCTCACCTGGACGCAGCCCAGCACTGCACTCAGAACAATTCTTTCTCCCCTCTCTCTCTATTTCATAATACAGCTGAGCCTCCTACCACCATTTTGAAGGGCAGCGTTTGCACAAGCAGAAGCCCTTCTTTCCAGTCTGCCTCAGCAGAGCACAGCAGAGCCTCCTGCTGCAGCAGAGCTGAGACCGACCGCCCACAAGGAACGTCTCCCTTGGTTACAGCACTCAGAGCTTCCATCCTGCCAGAGCCATCAGCAGGAAGGCACTGAGCTCAGCCACCACCAGTGCTGCTGCACCCAGAGGTGCCTCAGCCAAGAGGGGCTTCCAGACACTGCAGGGATGGCACTGGACACGGTGTGCTGCTGAAGTAAAGGAGAGCCTTCTTATCAGTAAGGCTGACACAACTCCTGCCCTGCTGCCATAAGCCTCAGTGCACGCACAGCCTGCAGACAGTAACGACCCCAAAGCCACAGCCCTGCTCTCCCAGCACATCAGTGGGGACTGAAGGGCCTGCTTTGTTTCTCAAAAAGTGCAAATCGGATTCAGAGCAGAGAAAATGGGATGTTTACACACAAAATAAGTGTTATTCTGGTTTCAGAAACACATCCTTTAACATAAACCATGACTTTTCTTTGAAAAGGGTCGTTCTGGGCCTTTAGGGAAATACCCAAAACATCAGGTCCCATATGGGGAAAATTCCTGCGTATCAGCTTTTAGTGAATGTGAGATTGCTAAGCTGAGTGCTAAATAACATGCAATTCAGCGTTAATAAAGTTTCCTAAGTAGAGTCTTCTATCACCACTGTAAGTCTCATTTACAGCGAGGACATACAGCCTCCATTTGGAATGATTCCCAGAGCCGTGGATAACTTTTCATTGGTAAAGATCCTTGCATAGAAAACACACAATGTTGGTTTGAATTCAAAAGCGTATTCCTTGCTTTACGCAGTGGGACTCCCTACATGCAGCATGGGAAGTGTAGATGTTCACCTTTCATTTATTTACCGCTTCAGTTTCAAAATACCACTTAAATGTTGGTCAAATGATAGTAGTACCAAGATAAATACCATTGTTTCAAAGAAATAGTAAGATGGACATTTCCTCAGTATTCTGATGATACAAGTTTCCAAATTGTAAACAAGCAAATGCACTTTGCTTCCTCACAAATCATACTGGGAGGTTGTTCTAATGAGGTTACACAGCACACATTTTCAATGACTCAGAGCAGTTCTTCATGAGAACAGACTGTCACTGAATCAATGACCAGGGCTACCTCATATTTTGTTTCCCAATTCTGTTTACATTGCATATTTCAGAATGTTACACTACAGGTTCGGGGTACTGAGCTGTAGTTAGCTAGCTTACAAGCACTCATCTTCAATCATACACTTGCTTTTTGCTAAAAATCTTTGGTGCGTTGTCTTCGAACATGAGAAAAAAAAATAGATCTGACCAGAAATAACATCATCAGAATGCTACCAGTAAAATTATTTTGCACTGCAGGAAATGTCAGGTCAAAGAGCATTACATAAATAGTCATCACTTACTTTGGTAGAGTTTTCAAGTGATTTTCCCTTAACTCCAATATTCTCAATTTGACAAGTCTAGGAAGACAAGAGAAAATAATTAGTTCATCTTATGAATTAGTTCAGAAACCCATTGGAATGGTTTGAAGCTGCTCAGTAGGCTGCAGTAAGGTGAGTTTGTATGTATATATATATATATATATACATATAAACAACAAGAAGTCCAGCAATTGTGGGACTGAACTTCATATAAAATGCATTCAGAACCAAAGAGCTTTGTATTTAGTCTATCCTCTTTTTATGTCCTTATCTGAACTCATCTGAAAACTTCTGACATACCTCAGTTTTCTCAAATAATGATAAACTACTTTTATTGACAATTCCAACAAAGCAAACAAAGGAAAAGCTAATTTCTCTCAAATATTTCTGGATCTATGAAAACATGAAAAGCAGCCACGCAGTTTGCAATTCTCTCTTCCAGTTGTAGCCTTATATTCTGCAGCTCCACATCGACAGACTAGCATCACAGAGCAAATCTCCATTAAATTTTCTGTATTTTATGCAGAAGTAGGACATATGCTCAAGTGCTGGCACAAATTAGAACCTCTATACGACAGTACTTCACAATTCCCCAAGACTGTGCCAATTCTAACCAGCAATATTACTCAAGCCATGTGAAATGGAGTGATTCTGCATCATTCACTCATAACTCTGCTATTTCTAAACAGAGCTGTTACATCAGAGCCATACCGTGTAAGATTTTAGGTGGATAGCTCTGTTTTTAGATGTTCAGAAAGTTTATTGGTGAACTTTATGATGAGTTTCAAGAACTCCACTTGATATTACTCTATAGTGAAGGCCCATTAGTGCCCTAAGAAGAAGCATGTGTCTGTGAGAAAAGCTGAAACCATACAGCAAAGCTCTAAATACTTCTCTGTGCAATACAATACCCATTTTCTGTTTCACAGAACCTCAGACTTTCCAGTACTTTGTTATTGTAGAAACCCATGAGTTTCCCTTTTTCCTACCAAAAAAGAAAAAAAGGAAAAAAAAAAAAACAACAACACTGTAAATCCTACACTTGCACTTTAGCCAGGACTAAAAGGAATGCCTCTAAGTGAGAAGTGCAGAGATGTTTACATGATGCTGGTGTAGGCTCCACTCCCCACTGTGATCAGATGGCTAAATGAGACTGTAACAGATTAACTGAACGTTACTGTAGCAGAAGAGACAAAGCAAGCACTAAAATCTGGAGCAGGGCAATAAGAGAGACCCAGTTAGAGAGCTGCGCGTGGTTAGTGAAAAACAGTGCAATTTCTGTGTGCTTATGTTGGAAGCTTCAGAGACATGACAAGGATTTGTAAGTGCAGGACACCAAAGGGATGACAGGAGCAGCATAGTAATGACAGAATAACAACCACTACTGGAACCAATGTCATTTCATCTAGATAACAATTCTGCATTTGTAGATTAAAAAAAAATTGAGTGCTTTCTGCTAAGAGATGTAGAATGCTGGAGATGTCCTTAAGAGGCAAAGATCAGTAGACAAAGTACAAGCAGAGCTCCAGAAGAGCATAATGAATATAATTGTTCCACAGACAGAAAAACTACACATCTGATAAACTGCAGGGGTATTTCATGCCTCTGTTTTTCCTTAACTCTTGTACATGCTGTCTGAATTCTGAACTGCAAAAGCAATCTTCAGATTTATTCTGATGTTCCAAACACTCAACAACTGCAAGCAATGACAAGTTCCCTTCCTCTTTTCTCAACTGGGCATTTTTTAAAGTTACTGCAGTATGCACATAGCCTCAGTTGAGGGTCAGCGACAGTTTCAGCAAGTAAATGCCAACAAACTTGTACTTTCTATTTCTCAGTGCCTGAGTAACACCACCTCCAACACCAATTATGCCACACCAGCGTTGGTTTTGGAGTGCTGAGGTGATATTCCCAATGGAACAGTGACACACACACAAGAGTAGCTAGATGGACCAGGAAAGAAACTAATACTAGATGAATTCTGTAACATCACCTTTTCCTCCTTTAATCCTCTGTCTTCTGAGCTATTTGTCCCACTGGGCAATCAGAAGGCAGAAGGGCTGCACAACCTTTCTGCTGGCAGCACAGCAGAGATGTAAGTATTGTGGTGCACTCTTCAATGGCCACATCAAATTGTCTTCATTTTGGTTTTCTGCCTTTGACTCATGCTTACGTAACACGTTTTAGCTCAGCTTCTACTGCATTTATTTGTACTGCCATCCTACTTCCTTTCTGCTCTGCTGCCTTTTGAACCTTCTCTCTTCTTGCTTTTCTATTTTTGCTTTTGTTGCTCCACCACGCTCAGCCATTCCTTATCTTTCTTTCCGACTCACTCCACGTTTCTCTTTCTGTTCATTCCTCGATAGGCATACACCACACTGCTATTTTCTACACTTGCCACAACATAATAACACATTTGACTAAGGACAGGACTCTTTTCTCCAATTCTTATTCCTGGCCACCTTTTCCCTAAACAAGCAAAATGCTTCGCGTTATCATAGAATTCTTGCTGACATAAAATTCTCTCTAACAGTAACAATTCATCAAAATAGGGCTGAAGAAACAAAATCTGTACTTTCTGTTGTTGTTGTTTAAAAAAAATAGATTACAGTTTTAAAATGGTCCTTTAAAACCTGAAGTGGGTTCATATGAAAGAGCAACGCGCTTTGATGACTAATTCTTACCTTCCAAAGTTAGCTGGGAGAAACTCCAAAAAGGCATCATTTAGATAGAGCTGGGTCAAATTTAGAAGTTGTGTGAAGCCATCTGGCAGCCTAAAAAACAGTTAAAAGCTTAATGCTCACACTGAAGTTGCTATGGGAATAATAACAATATATATTTAGAAAGAGAAAGATGACTTTCTTTCTCACCCTCTTTTTCTACCCAAATTATCAAGAAGAATTTACTGAGCAGCTTTTTACGGATATTTTTGACTGCTCTCATCTTTTCCACATTGATATAACCACATGAAATTCAACTCCTTGGCACATCCCAGTCGCATCGGCCTTTTCTCCCTTTCAAGTTGAAGCTTTTAAGCCAAAGGTGCATTCCTCCTCCCCCTGCCTCTCTGAGATACTGAAGTTCCATTCTTTCATTTCCTTCACTCTATTTCATATACCACGGGATTACAACAAAGACATTTGGTGACTGCAGGTTTTTGGCAGGAGTAAGGATTTCTGAAGTCCCAGCCTGGAGATTATGGCACTGGAGGATGCAGCACAGCTTACTCCCAAATACATCCATTAGCAGCCTGCAGGCTGCACCGCCCGCACTGCTGCACCAACACATTCCTTATCACATGGACACACACCGTGCTCCACACAGAGCAGATATCTCTGCAGAGATACATCCATCTTGGATTTCAAACAGCTGAAAAACAATTTTCATTAATTCTGTAAATAAACTTGACATTGGGCCTCCAGACTTTACTTAACTTTGCATACGTTTTCTGCACTAGCAGCAATACAGACACAAGGCTCCTGATACTCACTTAGATACTGGGTTGACACTGGCTTCAATAATTGTTAAACATTTACAGCACTTAATATTCTCTGGAAAGTCTTGAATTCCTGAAAAATATTGAAAGAAGTATTATACACACATGAAAACTGTTCAACCTGTTTTGATCCTAAATGAGTTCTCTTCAGATATAACAGTGATATACATACTGCAGTATTACAGTCCAGAAGGTACTTTAGCAGTAAATAAATAGACCACAGCAGGCAATACGGCTTGCAGTACAAATTCTGCATTGATACTTGAGATCTCCTAGAGTTAGAGTGACATAATTTGTACTGATATTTGCGCCTTTCATTTCTTTCCCAAATGCCCAGCCTTTTCTTCTTTGCCCATCTCTAGACTTGTACTGATAACTTTTTCAAGAGAGCCTAAGCCTAATTTTCAAAACAAATACACAGGTTCAGATACACAAAGTTTTTTAAGCACGTAAATATGTATTTTGGAAATGCACATCAGCAAATTCATTGCTGGCTACATCAATCCTGGCAGCTGTTGATCTGTAGCCTTATATCCTTAAATACATTAATAAACCTGATCCACAAGAGCCAACCACTAAGTACTGAGCCACTTTGGAAAGGGGAATGCTTCATAAGTGCAATAAAACGTGTTCCTGCTCCTCTATTTGTAATGCTTATTGGTCACAACTTATCATGGTGAATTATGCTAGAGAAGCCTCTGTTTTATTCATTCACTTCACTGGGGGAAAAGCAAGTGAGGTGGACATCCACCCACACCTGTTAAAAGCATCAGGTAAGAAAAAAACAGAGCACAATGTAGAAAAAAAAAAAGAGTATGTTTTCTAGAATACAGTTGGTGAGAATTTAAGCTTCCTTCTTGCTGTTCGTTTATTCTTTAAGATACTTATCCTTTTGATCTCTTACCATTTTTACTGATATCAAGTTCTCTGAGATTAACTAAGCTAGCAATGGTGGTTGGCAGACTGGAGAGGTCATTGTCTGGTATGCTCAGCTTGCGTAGCGCCTGGCAGTTGAACAGTTGCTGTAACATAAAAAGATATTTTAGGGCGTTTCAGGAAAAATCAGTTAGGAATCACCTTTATAAATAGAAGCAACAAATATTACAGAACTACAGAAGAATTCAAAAGTACAAAAGTATTTTGAGAAGCCAGAATTTGGGAAGCTGTCTGAAAGACTGCTCAGCACATTGACACAGCTTACACGTGGCTGGAAGGAATTATCAGTGCAGCTGGTGAGTGGCAGAAACGCCCAAGCACCATGGAACTCTGCTAAAAGTGCATACTCACCTTAAAAAGAATGAAACCTGTTGTTCCTTCAAGTGAATCTCTTTTCAGAAGACCAAGAGGTGATCACACGAGGGAGCCACACGAATAATGCTGAGCCCTGAGCTGCAGCCACCAGGCACCAGACCCGAAGGGCCTTCTCAATGAGAAACACCTCTCAGAACACTTTGTATTGGCAGTTTTGCTCTGCAGACCTCCTCTCACAAGGAATGCATTTGTTCACTTGCAGGACCTCTTCTTAAAGCACAGCATTTTGGATAGGACTGAAAAGTAAGTGGACTACCACTCTCCAGTGTTTGCTTTTGTGATTTCCAGCCCCGTTGCTGCAGCCCATAGCAATGTGAAGCACAGAGGCCTGGCAGAGCTTTGGTGTGCATACAAACCAAACCATACCATGCTGTTAGAGCTGCAAAATGCAACTCCACTGCCTTTCCCCAGCTGTTGCACTGAAGCATTACCATAAAAGACAAAGGAGACATGGAGCTTCAAGTCTGTCCTGCGATAACACTGTGTGGCCTCACCTTGAGCACTGTGTGCAGTTTTGGGTACCACAGCATAAAAAGGATGTAGAAACATTAAGGAATGTCCGAAGGAAGGCTACAAAGGAGGGGTCTGGAGGGGAAGATGTGCTGGGAGCAGCTGAGGTCCCCTGGTTTGCTCAACCCAGAGAAGAGGAGAGGCCCCATGGCAGCCCTACCACTCCCTCATGGCAGCCTACAGCTCTTCATGGCAGCCCTACAGCTCCTCACAGGGTTATCCATCACACTGCATCCACGTACCACTTCTGCTTCCCTCCCACTTGTGCTGACAGTGCCAAGGTGTGAGGGACAACAACGGGCATTATTCTGCACGTCCCCGCTTCCCCATGAGACAATGAAATGTTGTAGCCTATAACTAAGAACTCCTCATACCTATTTTACCAACACATTAGATTTATCTTTATTAATGTTGCCCAGTACGAGTCAAAACAGATTTTGCTTTATAATTATTTATAGATGACAGTTACTGGGAGGAGTTTCCGTCTCAACTGTGTTTTTCTGTACAGATTGCCAGGGATTCCACCTACATCAAAATCAATTCCCTTTTTCATGTCATTGATTCACTTGACTCATGCACATAGGGTCGTATTTGCAGTGGCAGCTCATGGTAACGAGAGCAAAAGCAAGGAAAAGAAAAGTCTGGTCTAAAGTCAGGGGGAAATAGAGACTAAGAATTGCAGAACAAAACCATAAATCCTTAAAAGAAAAAATATATATATGTTGCAGAAAGATAAAAATTCAAAAATACAATAGGCAAAATGAGTTTGATACATCAGTTTAGGGCTACAAAGTGTATTGGTTTCTAGAGAAACAGGTAACATTGGTATATAAGGATGTAATGGAATCTCTACCTGTGCTTTTCTTCATGAGACTGTAAAATATGGCAAGTGTTCTGATGACAGTAAGCTTTAATAGACCACTGAGTCACTGAGGTACGTAATATTGGTAAATAACAAAAATAGAACACTGACGAAACAGATTTCTTTTTGGAAACAGTTATTGGACTTCACATTTCCAGAGAAAGGATGTCCTGCTCGCAGGAGTGCGCAGCATGTAATACAAGCTTAGCATGAGGAAATGCAGTGCCATTTTAAGGAAAAATGACTTTATGTCACCTACAGCTTAATTGAAGTAGAGGACAGAGTTCGACATGTGGCAAAAATTATTTGGAGCAGAAAATTTGAGAAAGAAATTATTTGGACTGTTTCACTTATGGCAATGATTAATAAACTCTTTAGACAAAGAGGTGTAGATGGTATTAAAAAAGCCAACCAGTGCTCCCATTTTTCTTCCCATAATTGCACAAGACCAAGACTGTGTTAAATGTTACATTTACCCTCAAGACTCATCATAAGGACTTTTTCAGTACATAGTATTTGCTTCAAATTATTACCTATGAACAAAGAGAAATGAAGCAAGAGGTGCAAAAATGGAGCCCCGTTCATTTAAATTGCCCCAAAGTATGCATTTATCTGCTGTTGCATTTCACAAATAACATGTATGGATAGATGATACCACAACACAGTGCAGTGCACATCTCAACTCTGACTGACACTATCACCTTCATTTGAGTTTCATTATTTTGGACCCTTTACCCTCGGCCCTCACCTTATGCCCCGATACATTTGCCTTGTACTCAGCACTGCCATTTCTCTAAATACCATCATGATGCCTACTTTCATGAGGCCAAAGACAAATATATTGATAATTGGTGGCCAATTTAAGAACTACACTTTTTTTTTTCAGTATGATTTTTCAGTAGCATTATTTAAATATACAATGTGACCATGTATTTTTATTAAAATAGACACAGTCCTGAAGGTACTTGCATTCACAGTGAAATGATCTACACCCAAACCACTTTATATTTATGGGGACAAAAAAATCTCTGGTTCTCTGCTGTCCTTTTTAGGAGGAGAGATAAGGCAGTTCTCTATATCATTTTTTCATGACACTTGAAGATTGTAGCTACCCTGCCTTATCAGCTGTAAATAGCTTCTTGATTGAGTGAGTAATCTTCAGCAATGAACCTTCATATCTGAATATGGGAACTCCATGTAATGAAAAAAGTACGTTTTCTACATTGGGAAATAGAAGCCTCTGTGTTGTGTAAGTCAGGAACATATTGGGAGATGATGAAAAATGGATTACAGTGGAACAATGTTTAATTAAAAGACTTGTAAGCATCTTTCATTATTGTTGAGAAAAATTCAATTAAGGAACGGATTACATTACTTCATGCTTCATTATGTAGCTAGTACCTATTATTAATTGTTTTTTTCCACTACCTTGCCCTCTTTCATTTCCAGAACATTCAAGTTACACTAACTTTTAATTTCTTACAGTAAATATTAATCAGCAGAAGACTAAAGAATCTGTAAAAGAAGTTTTACACAGGAAGCACTGCTATAGAACTTGGTTGCAGGACCTCATTTAAGGCTGTACAAATGTCACCTGGGCAGTGCTAGCCTCTCTCCTGCAAGGATCAGCATCTCATCCCTACCAAGGGCTTTTTTTGGGGTTTTTTGTTGTTGTTGTTGGTTTTTTTTTGAAGGAGTGCAACTGATGATCCAAATGCAAGACCACCTGCCCCATGTGGCCCTGTACTCCCAGTCTCTCAAAGCACCATGTCATATTAATCATTTACCAGCCCATGAGCAAACAACGTTTCAGAGTTGCAGCACATCTTCGGTGCACATTCAAAACTCGCCAACTGTAAGACACGAAGAACACAGGTTACCTTGGGTAGCTCTTCGATTTGATTGGCATCCAGATAAAGCTCCTCCAACGTGCGCTCGAAGTTGAAGACCTCCTTTGGCACCTGCTGTAGGCCGCAGTGAGAGTAATCCAGGACTGAAATGATCTCCTCCTCACCGCGAAAGCAGCGGCAGGGCACCAAGCGGCCAATAATCTTCCTTTTGGTTGTCATCTCCAAGCAGGGCACTGAAAGAAATGGGAGACAGTTTTCTGAAACTATCAGCACGTTTGGGCCTATTTCTTCAGAATCATTACAAATATAGCAGCCCATTCAAGATGTAGATTTTTCCAACAGGTTTCTGTAGTCTGCATTCTCCAGGTTTTCACCCGCTTTGTGACAAAGCACAACCAACTGGGACTCGCCAGAATGATCACAAAAGGCAATCTCAACACACTGTCTGTTCCCTACATGGGGGCAGAACAAAACACGCCAAGGCCATCCTCAGTTCTTGCTTTCTGTAACAATGAAAACCAGCTATGCAAATCCTGCAGGTAGAAATGAAAACATTTTCCAGCTAAAGTGCACTCCGTGCTTCCACCCCCTGCTCGGTTTGGGCTGTGAGACAGTGAAGTGAATCAGCCACAGCCACTTGGACTCCAGTTCTCCCTGACAAACACGTGGTTCCATCGTATCTGATTTCCCTGGAACCAACAAACTTCCTTCCACAATTATTGCTGGGGTGCACTCATTGTCTTTTTGAGCACACAAACAAAGAAAAGAACGCGTAAACCACCTGATAAGAAAATAACAGAAAGCCATCAGTTTGTTTACCTGTCATTCCAGCTTCTCTTGTATTATCTCAGGCTGTGGGAACTCAGATAAAGGACTTAGCAGAAATCCCATTAATTTTACTGCAGCAGAATAAGCTACTGGGAAATTTCCCCACTGCCTGTTCCCCAACTTCTAGACCAGACGTTGGTTCTGCTGACCTTCCTTGCATACACAATCCATACACACACCTCTCCTCATGTGAGCAATCGTTCACACAAGCGTGTTTTAATATTTTTCAGCAAAATAAGAATGATTTAAACAACTACTTTCGAAATGAGCAAACAGTAAGCAGATTTGATATATGTCAGGCAGTCTACATCTCAGAGATACCGACATTGCAAAGTTATGTTAACCAGATTATAGATAAATCAGGCTGCTCTGAAATGTATTACCATAAAGCCAACAAGAACAAAATCTTTGCCTCCTATTTTGTAAAGCACTTACAAAGTTTTGTAACATTCATGGAAAGAATGCACTTAATGAGAGCAAGTAAAGCAAAGCACATCAGGATCCTCTTTCACAGTGAAAAAGCAACCATACATTCATGCAAAATGTCAGTGGAGAAAGACAGTGAGGTTCTGCAAAGTATCTTCCAAAAATAGCATGAGCTGTAGAATTCAGTGTCAGTCTGTGCTTTCCTTTGTCTTCTCACCCATTTAAAGAAGCTTCTGAAATACAAGAAACCCAGTAACTGAAGAGAAACAAGTTTCCTCTCAGACAGCTCCCCGTGCAGAGCTGAGAGGATCTGCCTAGGAATGAATATAGATCATTCATGATGCTGCAGGCATTATTTGTGTGAAATGTAACATTAAAAAAAAAAGTATTTCCTTGGTGTGATAATGCCCTGTGTACAGAACTTTCTGTGCTGTTTGTATCATTGTTATCTGGGAGGTAAACAAGACTCAAACGTTCTACTGGCACTCAGCAACGCCAAGGAAACAGACACACAAATGCTGTCAGAACAAACGCTGGTTTTCATGGGCTCAAGATGCTGAGAGGAGCACAGTGGCAGTGCCCCCAGCTGCACATTGGCTGGTTCTGACTTAAGGGTAAGCTTAAAACAGAGATAAAAGTAGTCTCGTAATTTTGAGCAGATGCCAAAGTTGGAGATACAACACTGAAGCTGTCTTAATTACAGGCAGCTAATGCAATGAAAGCACCCTCGTAACAAAGTTTACATAAACTTCTTAAAATACCAGAATAGAAGACATAGAGATATGGAAATAGATTCATTTTCAAGCTGATTTATAACTGAATCTTCCATTTCTATGTAACTTCTAATCCTGTGCTTTCCCTTGTCCCAGTTCTACCGCAGCTCAGAGTCTTTGCCCACTCCTGCGTGATCCGCTCCCTCCAGAACCTTCTCACTCCCCACCACAATCCATGCTGGCAGCCCATTTGGTCGCATGAAGTCTCTATATCTCCTCCCAGAAACCATCCCATGAGCTCACGTGAGAGCACAAGATCAGAACAGCTGATGGCTGTAAAAGCATGGGTCATGGAATAAGCCTTTCACAAGAAAAATGAAATCAGCTACCAAAATGCGCTGCCTCTTTGTATTCAAGCAGAGGAAGCAACATTTGCAACTGCATATTTCAGAGCATGACACAATACAAATAGATGCCCTTGGAATATCAAATTATTTGTAGCTTTTGAAGGCATTTGAAGGTAATGAACAATTGAGCAGTGACATGTACTTCAAAAACTACTTGGAAAAACATCCTTCCCATAGGCATTACAAAGCACTTAGCTTTGCATTATTCTCCTCCACTGTAGGCACATGCATAAAACAAACCTCACATTCCATTTTAATAGAAAGCCAGAACAATAACAGCAGAACAGCTAGAAAATGTACAAACAGCGACGCAGTGAGAGAACAGAACTAAAAATAGCAATTACAACAGCAAAGGCACGGTTAAAAATAGGGGGTTTTGCTTGTACTAAAGTTCTTCCATTGTCACAGTCCATAATTTCTTCTTCAAGAAAAGATTGGTTTTAAAAATCAGACAGGAAAAGTGCGAAGGATAAACAAAAGTAATTGAATTATGCTGTCTTTCCCAAAGGCAGCAATAAGATACAGTTGTCATGGTCACTAAAGTCAATTGTTGAGATTATTTGGTTATTATTTGGATCCGTCCTCTTCAGACACAAACAAACTGTTTGGATAGATCAGCAATCTCTACTCAAGAAAAAAATTAATGCAGCAGTGAGGAAGGTTTCTGACCCTGAACTAAGGTGTGCTGCTAAGAGGATCAGTGTGAAGTTCCTGCAGTGGTGTTACATCTCCTTACTCCACTTTCTGGCAGTACGGCCACGGGAAAGCACGGAGCTGAGCATATTTCAGTGAGAGGGCATTTTGCATGTGTCCATAGTCTGCTCCTCTATTTACCCTCTGTAATTAAAAGAGGAATGAGCAATCATGCTGGAAAAGCATGCTATGCATCCCCTGGGGTTCATACTGTTCTTTGCAATCCGTTCAGAAAGCACCAGTAAGGAATTAAAGGACCTGTGATACGATTGAAAGAAGTAAAATTCCATGCCCTGTGGACTAATGGTAATTAAACCATTCATTAATTTCAGTATTATTAATTCCTTCCCTGGACTAATCCCAGTTTCGGTAATTACACTTTTCTTACCTACATTTTATTCCTTCGTATTTCTCATAAAGCCTTCCTTTTGCTCTGAGAGTCACTTGCTGTGAGGACTGCTCCTTGAGATGGCTGGGGAGAAGGCAAGAAGGACCGACGGACTGCCAGCCGGGGGCTGTCAGTGTCACTGCTGCTCCGGCACATTGCTTGGCACCCTAAGCAATAAGGTCTGTCTTCTTCCTGACAGGAGCACCCATGCCTACTGCCCACCCCCATTTAAAGCAGGGAAAGAAGTGTGCTTCTCTTTAACAGAGTATTAGAGGTCACTGCTGAGAGCAAGTTGTGTGCTATACAGCGAGTACCACGTGCTATAAAAGATTCCAGTGACATTCAGAAATCAAGAAATGTCAGGGATGAGGCTGTCTGCTCAGTCTTACGGAACCCAGTCAACAGAATTCACAGCAACCTGGGAAGCCATGACACGTTTGTTCTGCAAGGTGCCAGGAGCACGCGGCCGTTTTCACATGCAAAAGCACTGGGAAGAAATGTAGGTCTTGGGAGCTTCTCTGCAATTCTGATTAAGGAAATGTTTTGACTTTGTAACTAACAATTAAACAACTTCAGTCATAGAATCACAGAACGGCCTGGGTTGCAAAGGAGCACAACGCTCATCCAGTTCCAACCCCCTGCTGTGTGCAGGTCGCCAACCAGCAGCCCAGGCTGCCCAGAGCCACATCCAGCCTGGCCTTGGATGCCTGCAGGGATGGGGCATCCACAGCCTCCAAAATGTGATGTACAATTACTCAATTGTTCAGAATAATAAAATGAAAAACGAATACTTTCCCCACAAAAGCTCAAAAATGTTATGACCTCCTTCCTAGAAGCTTTTAAAAATATATATCCTTTCTTGAATTAGGTTAAAGAAACTTAAGAAAGAGGCACAAACATAACTGCTACTTATCAGCTCCATGCAAACATCCCATTATCATCACCTACAGTTTACTCTCTTACAAAGCAAATCCCTAAAATAAGAAAAATAGTAGTTTTATTAAATTAATTGGGATAAAATCTAATCTCTTCCCAGTTAATGCATCTTTTGTGCAGTAAAAACACTAATCCCTGTTACTCAATAATCATGGGAGTTTTCCTCACCTATCCAGAAAACAGAAGCAAACTGCTGTATGGTCACAGAGCTTTGACTTAAAGATGGAAAATGCGAGTTGACAAATGTGAGGTGCCTGTGAAGAAGAGCGGAGGCAGCAGTTTGTTCAGAAGACAAATACCTACAGGTTGTTGTTCACCTCGGGAGCCCTGCGCACCGCACTGGGCGCACGCACCATCACACAGAGCCAGATGGCTTTTTGCCCCTCAGAAAGCAAGTCAAAATTTACTTCAGGAAATGGGGAAGAAAGAGTCATCTCTCTCTGAGAATATTTTACCCAACCGGTTTTACTGTACGAGGTGCAAAATGTTACCTTCAATGGGTTTTACTTTTTGTTAGTGATGTTAATGAAAACTAGAAAGTTCTCGCTTAGTGGGGAAGCAATTTGGAGTTATAAAAAGTAGCTTCAAACTGCCTTCAGAAGCCAGTAGATTTCTTGTCGACAGTCCATTTAAAGAAAGAATCCCCAAATTCAGTATTTGTAAGATCTCCCTAGAATTATGAAGCCAGCTCCCCCAGTCTGGGGCCTGCAAACCTCCAGATACAAGCTGTATCCCCACACCTGCACAAAGCAGGCAGCTGCAGAGCTCCTCCCCTACACGAAGGGGCTCTTCGGAAGTCCCCATTAAGAATATATAGTTTTAATTTGTAGAAGCAAACAACA